CGTATCCTTCTGTTATATAAACCGCTAACTTCTTGGTCGCTTTTTCTCCGTATGTATGAATGTCCGTCCGCAAAATGAAGTGATAAGAAAGCTCATGGATAAACAAACCGCTAACAAATCGGGTAGCTTACAGGATTTGAGATATCAATGTTTTGTAGCAGGATAGTTGTGATAACACTCTTAGGGCTATATAAACACCTGCTTAGCACACTTCCGTTCATTCCACATGGTGCTGCAGTGGCAGCTGGAGGGCAGTGGAGAGAGGAAGGGAGGATGGAAGGGAAGGAAAAATCTACCGTCATATCATGATTATGGCGATCCCTTCTACTATATGAAACTCCATTGTGTTGCATACGCGTCACTTCCACGAGGTGTTGGTGTGGAAGGGACCACAGCGGAAGATAGTAAAGCTTACGCAGGGAAGGAAGGTCCCGGCGGTTGACGGGGACCAATCTGTATACAACATAATTGCAATGTCAAAGTGGATTAGAGTAAAGAAAACGATTAATCTCTTCACTTTGGTTTTCTGCGGTCATCGCATGCGTCAAGAATTGATCTGTTTCAGATAGCGGCAGCACTCTAAATCGTGGTGCAAGCACGAATGGGCAAACCGCCGGCTCCGACACTCGACAGTTGTGCAATGCAATTGTGGGTCATGTTACCAGTGCTATGCATTATGCCTCATTTATAAATAGGTCACCGCAAGGGAACGTTTGCTGGTTCTGTTTCGACTAGTAGAGCTCCTCTTTGCAGGATAAAACTCCAGTTAGGTGGTGTACAGATAGGCAGGAATTTATGGACGAAGAGAAGTTATACAAGGTTTATCTTTTTGCCAAATCTTGATGTCAACACTGCAACTGGAGTTTTGTAGCTTTTTTCTATCTATCTAATATCATATAGTTTTGCTTCCAACATCATGATCATGACATGATTTTGATTGGTAACAGTCAAAATGTGTCCATTCATAGATTCAAAATGAAGGCTTCACGTTGAGTAATAGAATGATTCGATATGAATACTCAAATTTTAACGAGGAAATGCGTCATACTTTTACACTCTACCTTTGACGATCCACCTTTCCAATTTTCGGCTTGATTTTTCCCAATATCTGTAGGAGAGTCTCTTAGTTGGAGGTTGTCCACATAGGAAATTTGACCGTCCAAGAACGGATGCCACGATTGTTTGGTGCGGCAACTCCGGCCTACATTTCACAAGCACCAGCACCAAACTCTGTTAGACCTTCGAATTCGTGCTAAGGTCAAACAATATTTGAGAGCAAATCCCTAGCTGAACCTGGATTCTGGACCAGACATCGAGTAGCGTGGCCGTATAAGCTCAAAGAATCATTTTTTCTTATATCATTTGGGACTCTAATGGTTTCACTTCAGAGGAATTTCTCTTTGACGGCTGACGAAGACGACTTTTCTCTGGGCGTGCTTAGGTAAGGATGTCCTTCATTGTTTTGCCTAGCGTTCTTCTTTCACTGGTTCCAAACCATTTTCTAGGAGAGGATTTCGTTATCATTGGTGTTTAGATACGACCAAGCTGGATTGACCGATGCTTTAAGTGGATGCACCTCATCAAATCTGAACGAAAGGAAGGATGGTCTACGATCATTGTTGGAAATCCTCAAGTAAGTGAATTCGTTTGAAGTCGTTAAAAAAGCTCCACCACGAGCTGCTGAGTTTTGCGCACGAGCATCACATTAGTCGAGTTTCGAATCAGGGTCTGTGCCTTCCGAGTGATGATCGCTTCTATATTGCACTATATAGGCTTTTGCGAAACAAACACTACAGGATACGGCATTTTCCATGTAAATGGGCGAACTTGTTTATGTGTCGCTATTTAGATCACGCCGAAATATTCCCCAACAGGATATAAAGAAGATTTGTGACGTTCTCAATAAGCTTCTTACCGAAGGGAATCATAAGGTACGTCCAGATGCTCCATTGTGGCTTGTTTCTAGCTACCAATTGTCAAGATCGTTTTTAAAATATCCTTCTTTTTCGTCAATCCTTTGATGATACCATAGTGTATCAACCAATTCACCGATTAGTACCTTCTCTTGCATTAAATTTTTTTCTTTGACACGGTTTCGCCCCTTTCATGAAGAACTCTTCGCATTTTCAAAACACACTTCCCTTCCAGTTATTTTAACTTATGGCAACATAAACTCGTGCTGCAATGAGTTTTGCTCTTTTTTGGTAACGCCAGAGGGTGATTAAAGGAATGCTTCCTGGAAAAATCTTGCACTCTTTCCCAACACGCATATGTCAGTTGTGATCACTAGAGACAACATACAAAGTTTCACGCACAAAGATTCGGTTTCCGAAGAGAAACAAACTTACAAAACCACTCTATGGACAATCGAAGGTAAGGGCGCGGAGCCAAAGGCGGGGCATGGAAAGAAGTCCGCCTTGGGGCGGCTACGTATCAGGCGACGCAATGAAAGAATCGGGTTAAAGCGTGCGAGTAGAGACAAATCGATCGATAGAATAGGATGCAGTAGAAGTGAGATGTGAATGCAATAAGTCAAAAGGCCAGAAAGAGTTTCTAGTGAAGGCACTCCGTGAACCAAGTGGAAGCGTTCCCGTCGCCAGCATTTGTGACAGATGTCCGGCGGTACTTTGACGTTGAACGCGTAGCAACCCTTTCGGTTTTCCAAATGCATTTTTTTGTTGTTTCGTTCTTATGGTGAACCATAGGTCCCAAGCCAGTGAAAGGATGAAGATAGAATCATGATTTCTTCGAGTATTTCTTAACCCATTCGCGACCGCGTGGGATTGCGCAATAGCAGCACAGTCAGGAGATTTTTCTTCAATAAAATTTGAGTGGAGGGAGATTTCCTCTGCCCAGGGCTGGCGTAGATGAATGAGGGTATGAAGATTCTTTTCATGGAAGAAAACTTTCCAAATTCCATTTGAAACCGGCAGCCAACGGTGGATGCCATTGTCCCGAGTGAGATCTTTGTCAGCCACCGGTGGCTGACATTGTCACGAATGGTTCCCACATTGGCTTTTTTGTCACGAATGGGTTAAAGTGCAGATATTCCGAGCAAATACACATGTTTCTGTAGATCGTGGTGCGTGAGCTAATGAACGCTGTTACAGTTAATGTCTACTGTGATGGATATTTTGAACGTATTCGTATCATCCTATCATGACAGCTTAGGAGAATGGTTGCAGTTCCTCTTGTTGAGGCTGCTTCATAAAAGCGGAGTCGAGATTCTGCCAACTGTTGTGGTATGTACCGTGCTTTAGTAGTGTTTCGAGTCAACATTCTTCTCTATTTTATGTCCCTTTTCATTCAGCAACCATTGAACATGGCTTTGAAAGCTGTTCGCACGACATTCCGACCGGAGCTTCAGTTGGTAGCTATTTGCAAGAATATTCAGGATCCTATTCAAACACCGCCAGTGAAGGTATGTGGTCCGGAATGGCACATTATCTATTTTCTGCAAGCGTCGTTTTCAATATTCCTCCCGTCTTAGGTGAAGGGCGCGACGCTAAATTATTTGCACGAATTATTGCAAGGAATGGAACAAGGAGCAAGTCTCAATCGCGACGAAATTCGGGCAGCAGTTCAAAAAATATTTCAGTGGATGGAAGATCCGAAGAATGTTTCCGTTAAAGTTGTGAGTTAAAGTTTTCGAACGTTCCGAATTGTGTATTTGCGGTAGAAATCTTTGAGTTCAGTCGTTTTTTCATATTCATCACCTTCAGTAGTTGTCATTTAGGCTTGTGAACGTGTGATATATGACTTCTTCTCACTGAATACTGCTGACTTCTCCACAATTCTCTCCAGTTATCCGCCGCAATGGCGAGAATTTGCATATAGCCTCCTTAAGAAGAACAAGCCGAGGTTAGTGACTGCTCATTACTTCTTAGTTTCAGACAAAAGTTTTCATTAAATTCTTCGCGATAGAAAATAGAGACCAACGTGAGTGCTTTCTGTAGGGAACAGGATTCAGCTGTTGCCCGTTTGCCTTTCTCATTCATCACTCCAATCCTGTTTCCGTGTTTCTACATTGTTTGTGTGGACAGTCCATCCTTCGTAACGAATTCATTTATTCATGCATTAGCAATGCGCAAAGCGGTTGTGATCACATTTTCTTGATAGAGCCTGTTTTTATGCCTTATTCATTTACTTTCATCGCAGTTTCCTGATTGTGTGATTTCTTCCATCGAGGTACATTTTCTTCACTGCGCATCTAATTTGTCGCCCCTTTTTGCAGTTGATTTTTCCGCTATGGCTGCTTGCTAATCGTTTTTCACTAGTTTTATTCCATGTTCTGCATTTACCCTGCTCGATTAGAGAGTGCAATAATGCGAAATCGTTACATATTTCGCACTAATTATCAAGTAAAGTGAATGTAGTTCAGCAATTAAACAAATGTTGGAAGGTAAGA